ATTGATACAAAAGAACACCCCATAACCTGATGAAGGATATCTTCAAAAACCCTACAGCACACATCACAGTAATGATGCAATGTTGAAAGCATTTCTGTTAAGGTGAGAAACACCAGGGTGGCTCGGTTAGTTAAGCATCAACCTCCTTTTTCAGCTCAAGTCATGATCTCACTGTTCCTGAGATTGAGCCCCCACGTCAAATCTCCGCCTAGGATTCTCTCTCTCCCTCTCTCTCTGCACCCCCTCCAAAATAAATGAATAAACTTAAAAAAAATTACATTCAAAACAACATTTTGCTCACAATGCCCATTTCTCTAGTGACTTTCAGAAATTACTTAGATATTGCACAGAAAAATATTTTTTCAATAAAAATATGCCATTTGGTTACATGAACATATACATATGTAAGTCAAGCTGTACACTTTATTTATTCACTTTATGTTTGTTTTTTAAAAAAACTTTTTTTAACGTTTATTTATTTTTGAGACAGAGAGAGACAGAGCATGAATGGGGGAGGGACAGAGAGCGAGGGAGACACAGAATAGGAAGCAGGCTCCAGGCTCTGAGCCATCAGCCCAGAGCCTGACGCGGGGCTCGAACTCACAGACTGCGAGATCGTGACCTGAGCTGAAGTCGGACGCTTAACCGACTGAGCCACCCAGGCACCCCACTCATATGAGGATTTTAAGACACAGATGAACACATGGGAAGGGAAGCAAAAATAATGTAAAAACAGGGAGGGGGACAAAATATAAGAGACTCTTAAATATGGAGAACAAACAGAGGGTTTCTGGAGGGGTTGTGGGAGGGGGGATGGGCTAAATGGGCAAAGGACATTAAGGAATCTACTCCTGAAATCATTGTTGCACTATATGCTAACTAACTTGCATGTAAATTAAAAAACAACAACAACAACAATTACCCATAAAAACTTTTGAGACAAAAAAATAAAATTTTTATTGCAACCAAACATAAAGTGAATAGGGGCGCCTGGGTGGCTTGGTCGGTTAAGCGTCCGACTTTGGCTCAGGTCTCACGGTCCGTGAGTTCGAGCCCCGTGGCGGGCTCTGTGCTGACAGCTCAGAGCCTGGAGCCTGCTTTGGATTCTGTGTCTCCCTCTCTCTCTGCCCTTCCCCTGTTCATGCTCTGTCTCTCTCTGTCTCAAAAATAAATAAACGTTAAAAAAAGTTTTTTTAAAAAACAAACATAAAGTGAATAAATAAAGTGTACAGCTTGACTTACATATGTATATGTTCATGTAACCAAATGGCATATTTTTATTGAAAAAATATTTTTCTGTGCAATATCTAAGTAATTTCTGAAAGTCACTAGAGAAATGGGCATTGTGAGCAAAATGTTGTTTTGAATGTAATTTTTTTTAAGTTTATTCATTTATTTTGGAGGGGGTGCAGAGAGAGAGGGAGAGAGAGAATCCTAGGCGGAGATTTGACGTGGGGGCTCAATCTCAGGAACAGTGAGATCATGACTTGAGCTGAAAAAGGAGGTTGATGCTTAACTAACCGAGCCACCCTGGTGTTTCTCACCTTAACAGAAATGCTTTCAACATTGCATCATTACTGTGATGTGTGCTGTAGGGTTTTTGAAGATATCCTTCATCAGGTTATGGGGTGTTCTTTTGTATCAATAGATGCTGAATGTTTTGAGTAGTTTTTATGCATCAATTGACACGAATAAACTGCTTCCCCTTTAATGTATGCGTCCATATTTCTCCTAGTCTAACATTAATTTTTGAGAAATGCCTTTTGCTGTATGTTTCTTCTCAATTCTCCCTCTTTACCTATCCATTACATGTTGGTGTCCTTGGGGCCCCTGGGTGGCTCAGTCAGTTGAGTGGCTGACTTTGGCTCAGGTCATGATCCTCTGTCCCCTTCTCTCTCTGGCCCTCCCCCACTTGTGCATTCTCTCTCAAAAATAAACATGAAAAAAATAAAAAGTCTTGGTCTCCTTGTTTCCTCCATCACTCCTCCTCTCTCTTTTCAAGCTCCTGCTTTTTGTAGGTTTCCTAGGCTGTTAAAGATTGGGGGATGACAACAGGGTTTTCAGACATTTTGTCTCCTCACAGTCTGCTCTCTCCACAAGCAGGCTGAATTCAAGTTAAAACAGTGCCTTAGAAGATAGGTGGCTTATGTTCCAGTTCTCTTGATTCCCCAAAATGCGCCGAGACAGATTTCCCTGTGCCTTTCAGTCTCATCAATAAATTTCCTGTCCTGCCTATCTCCAGGTTCGTTGGGAACTCAGATGAATACACGCTGTAGAATCACTCTGCCAATTACTCACAGGTAAGATTTGGTTGTTCTCGACACAAAGGTTGTTAGAGGTAGTGTGAGGTAACGGATAGCTTGGACTTTGAAGCTAAAGGAATCTAGATCCACTCCTAATCAGCAGTATGACCTTGAACTTGTTACTTAACCTTCCTAAACCTCGTCTCCTTCGTCCAGCTTGCAGATAAGAGATGCAAAAACGGTTGACACATAGTAAGGTCTCAATGAATTTAGCGATTGTTAAGAGACAATGCACGTGCAGACAGCCTGAAAAGCATAAAATACTCCATAATGTAAGCAGTATGCCCTCTGTGGGTTTGAGGCTCCTAAGCCAGCTCCAGTATTAGCGCCCTGGTACCGAGGAGGTAGGGTGAAGAGGGGGACTGCAGAGAAAACTACTCTGAACCTCGAATCCCCACCGTCGGGCTCCCATGGAGCGCCAAGTTGCACCCACAGTCCCTAAGTTTGGTGAAAAATGACTGGGGAAGGGGCAGACGCGGCCACCCTCACATTCGCGGGAGGGATCCAGCTCCCACTCGAAAACGCCGCAGCAACCAACCGCAATCACAACTATCCAGTAGGGGTTAACTAGTGCGCTCCCTGCTGCAGTCGCTAGGGGGAGCTCGTCTCGTCCCTCGCCCTATACGGGTCCTCGTTTGCGCACGCGTGATTCCTTTCCTCCAGCGGTTTGCCCCCACACCAGCTACGTTCGAGCGGCGCGTTCCAGGCCTTTTCCGACTTAAAGCCCTGCGGCTAGGGGCCGACCGGAAGCCCAGAGGAACTACTGCTAGAGGAGGGGTGGGTAAGAGAGGTGGAAGTGGAGCCGGAAGCGTGACTAACCAGGCGGCCTCCCCAGGCCGGCGAAGCAGGAAGGACAAGGTGCCGGCTTGGCGGGGTGTGGCCTCGGGAGGCGGAGGGCGCTGCGATTGGCCCTCGGCTGTGGCGACGGCGACGATTGGCCCCTGAGTGCGGAGGGAGGTGAGAAGGGTAGCGGCGGTTGGAATTCAAAAGTGGCGGGTGTGGCGCTAGGCTGGCAATCGCTGGAGTTCGGAGCGCGCGTCCCTTGTGTCGCGAGCTGGCGAGAGAACGTGGGTCCCAGGAGTCCCGGCGCCCTGTCCTCTTCTATTGTGGTCCCCTGGCGCGTGCGGCACGGTGCTGGACATGGAGCCGCAGGTGAGTAAGAGCCGCCTTGTATCTCCTGCCCCCGATGCTGACGAGCCCCTAGCTCCCGGCCGGCCTTGGTCCTGCCGGCTTGGAAGGCGAAGGTCCGCGCGTCCCCACGCATTGGAAAGGGGTGAGGGAGGGAGAAGGCAGGGAGCAGCCCCAGAAAGTCTGAGTGCACGTCTGCCTGCCCTCCTCCAATTTCAGGGAGTCTCAAAACACCTTTCCTCGCTTTCGTGTCTCCAGGATTTCCCGTTTCGAATTCTCAGGATTGTCTGACTGGTACCCACTTCTCCATTCGTACCGACGATTGCAGTCCGTGATTGAGAAGGCAGAGTCCTGAGATTCCGTTTACCTCTGGGGAAAGGGTGCCTGAGGCCAAATCCCTGGTGGTGTTCTTTCCTGTCCTCTCCTGGTTGCTGCCGCTTCGGAGTGTAGAAAGGGGATGGAATGGGGTAATCTGAACTGAAGGACTCCTTATCTCTTTCCTTCCCCAGAGTTTACAGCGATCTCTGCCGCGTGAGGCTGGTTGACTTAGTTTCTTCTCTTATCAGTGCCACTGCACCCCACAACCATCTGCAGCCTCTCCTGTCCAGTGGAGAAAGATGTGTGACAGCCAGAGTGTACTGACTTTTGGTGCCAGAAAAAGGCTTCTCCCTGGATGCTCTGTTTGTTAGTATTTCACATTCAGAGTTTTCCAGAGTCAAGTTTCAACCTGAAGAGAGACTCTGTGTCCTGACAACTAAAGAGCAGAGCCGTATGATGTGACAGCGAAAAATAGTAGAAGCCTTCTCATATGTATGCGTAGAATATTTACTGAGCACCTATTATGTACCATGCCCAGTTGTAGATACTTGGGATGCAGCAATAAACAAGACAAATCCCTGTCATCTCTATAGATGCTGTTCTATGGAAAGCTGTTATTTTATGGGGAGACAGGAAATATGTCATAAGTTATATAACTCTCTTAGAAAGTGATAAGTGCTGGGGGCACCTGGATGGCTCAGTCAGTTAAGCATCCAGACTCTTGATTTTGGCTCAGGTCATGATCTCATGGTTTGTGGGATCAAGCCCCATGTGGGGCTTGGGATTTTCTCTCTCTTTCTGCCCCTCTCCCTGACTTTTGCACGTGCACGCTCTCTCTCTCAAAGATAAACAAACTTCTAAAAAAGTGTTAAATTCAATGGAGAAAAGGAAAAATCTGAGCAGATTAAGAGGGAGGAGGGGAGGCCAACTGTCAGGATGGAGTATTAAATAGAATGGTCTTGGTAAGCTCCATTATGAAGAAGGTGAGCCTTGAATAAAGCTTTGAAGGAGGTGAGGGACAAAGGCTAGTGGATATTGAAGGAAGAGCAATCCAGGCCGAAGAAATCTACTAGAGCCAAGTCCTAAAGAATTGTAAAACAAAGCTAAAATGGACTGAGCGAGGGGGCAAGTTGTTGGAAGGGAAGTCAGAGAATGGAGAGTGGGATTGTTGACCCTACGGCTTCTTGTAGGAACCATTGTGAGGGCTTTGACTTTTACTCTGAGAGAGATGGGAAATCACTGGATGATTTTAAGCAGAGGTAAGATCTGTGTTACATTTTAAGAGGGTCACTGGCTGCCACATTGAGCGTAGAGGTAGGGGGTAAGGATAGAAACAAGGAGAACTGTGAGGAATACAGCAGCTTTTCTCAACTTCTGTACTACTGACATTTTTACTGTGGGGGCTGTCCCGTACATCGTCTGATGTTCTCAGTGTTCCTGGCCTCTACCCACTAGATGTTGGTGGGTAGAGATGAGGAGAACCTTCCGTGAGAGACGGGGAACCCAAAAGAGGATGGTCTCCTGGAAGCTAAATGAAGGAAGTGTATTAAGGAAGAGGGAGTGAATAGTTGCATCAAATGCTGCTGATGGGTCAAGGAAAGGGAAGATGCAGAGTTGACTTAGCAACATGAGGAGAGTGACCTCATGACCTTGAGGAGAGTGGTTCTGGTGAAATGGGGAGAGTGAAGGCCTGATTGGGATGGGTTTAGGAGAGAATCTGGACATAGTGAATGCTACGTAGATAGCACTTTTGAGTTTTGCTGCAAAGGGCAACAAAGAAAAAACTAGCAGGGAAAGTAGAGTCAAGAAACTCTTTACAACAATAGCATGTGTTGTAGCAGGTAGGAATGATCCAGTGGAGTGAAAAGTCGATGGTGTAGAGGAGAAAAGGAAGGATTGGTAGGGCTCTCTCTTAGTAGATGAGGAGAGTAGGATCTGATGTGCTCGTTGAGGGGAAACATTTCTCTTATGCTTCTCATTGTGGAAAGTTGGGAGTCATTGTGCCTGGCTTTATATTATAGACGGAAGAAAAATAAACACTAAACTCTCTGGAGTTTTCCTTAATAAATAAACCTTTGAATACATTTTTCAGAGCCCACACAAATTCCGGGGAGTTAGGTCTTTAGTAGATCCATTGTGGCAGTGTAGAGAGAACAAAGGGCATTGGTTATAACAAAATTCAGTGCGTAGCCTTGGAATACTTAAAGAAAACTTTGGTTTTAACACTACATTTGGGGGCATCTGGGTGGCTCTGTTGGTTGGGCATCCGACTCTTGATTTTGGCTCAGGTCATGATCTCACAATGGGTGGGATTGAGCCCTGCATCAGGCTCTGTGCTGACTGTGCAGGGCCTGCTTGGAATTCTCTCTCTCCCTCTCTCTCTCTCTCTCTGCCCCTCCCCTGTTCTTGTGCACACTCTCTCTGAAAAAAATAAACTTAAAAAAAGATAAAATAAAAAAATACATTTGATTAATCTAAATTGATTAAAAAACGTTCTTTGTGTACGTACATTTCTGTAGGCAACAGAACAAAAAATGACACCTCCTTTTTTTTGGGGTGGGGCTTTTTATTTGTATAGAAGCCAGTGGTTTGGATATATCAGTTTATTTAAGTATTCCCCTGTTGGTAGACATCAAATTTCATTCCTTTAAAAATGTATTGAGGTGCACCTGGCTGGCTCTGTGAACATCCTTGAATATATCACATTCTCTGTGATGTTTCTTACAACTTTATGTGAATCTGCAGTGATTTTTTTAAATGTTTATTTGTTTCGAGAGAGGGACAGAGTGCAAGTGGGGAGGGCAGAGAGAGAGGGAGAAAGAGAATCCCAAGCAGACTTCATGCTGTCAGTGCAGAGCCCTATGTGGGGCTCAGTCTCATGAACCCCGAGATCATGACCTGAGTAGAAATCAAGAGTTGGATGTTCAGCCAACTGAGCCACCCATGCACCCATGAGTCTGCAATGATTTTTAAATGAAAGCTTAATTAAAAAACAAAAGAAAACCAGCCCTTCCTCTTGTTCTCTTGGTTGTTGGAACCATGACAGGCATCTTGGTGTCCACTCGGTTTCCCCCATTTCCCTCACTGCCAAGCCAGCTCCTAGTTAGGTCAATACTTGGTTTCCAGTAATCCAGCCCCTCCTTTTCATTCCCACTGAGAACAGAAAGACCACCATTCAAGTTTGGAGAAATGAGGAGAACCTTCCATGAGAGAGGGGGAACCCAAGAGAGGGTGGCCTCTCTCAGATGCATTTCTTTTTAGCCCTTAATCTCCTAAAACAGCCCCTCTTGACTGACTTCTATGAAAATTAAGCTCTTGCCCCACTGCATTCTTTACATCTAATGATTAACTTCTCTCTGTTGCATCCGGAATAGTGAGAGATGTGTATTTCCTTGGGAGAATTAAGAAAGTGGATCGTTTTTTTAGAGCTTAATTATCTTGTACTCCAGTTTGGAAAGGCTGCCCTAGAAAGTAAGCTCCGAGAGGGCAGGGATTTTGTTCATTACTCTTACCCCAGCTTCTAAAACAATGTCTGGTACAGAGCAGTCTTGCAATAAATCTGAGTGCCACAAATCCTTGTTGAATGAAGGATGAAAGGAGTGATGCATTCTCTCTGCCTGTCATAGCCCTCATCTTCTGCTTCCATTCATTCTTCACATTGCTTCACTTGCTTTTCTGGTACAAATCTAGTCATATTAGTTTCCTGATTAAAAATCATCAGGGTTCCTCTTGCCTTCAGTAGACACTTGTCGTCCTTATCATGGCATGCCAACTGCCATAATCCTTGCCTTCACCTCCCCACTTTCTGTGCACACTCCATGTGTCAGCTGAACACACTAACCTGACATTCCTTGTGTGCACCCCCTTCCTTGCTTTCTGCCTAGGATGCTGGTCCTTGGCCCAAGCCATCAGGCCAACTCATCCTCAAGGTTTTTGCCTAAAAAGACTTTTTAGAAGTGTTCTCTGACACTCTCCCCATCTGAACTATATGCCCATCCCCTCCCCTGGGCACTTTTTATGATAGCACTCAGTAAAGTTTTAATGCTCTCTTTAAATGCTTCTCTTCACCATTTTCTATGAGCATTTTGAGGGCAGGGACCACATCTGGTGGTTTGGTTACTCCCAAACGCAGATCATTTCCTGGCACATAACAGGCACTAAGTAAATATCGAGTGAATGAAGTAAGCTGAAAGACAGAGAAGACGCCTTGGAAGTAAAAGTTAACTCTTCTGGGGTGGCTGGGTGGCTCTGTCGGTTAGGTGTCCGACTTTGGCTCAGGTCATGATCTCACGGTTTGTGGGTTCAAGCCCCGCGTGGACCCTGTGCTGACAGCTCAGAGCCTGGAGCCTGATTCAGATTCTGTATCTCCCTCTCTCTCTGCTCCTTCCCCCACTCACGCTCAGTCTCTCGCTCTCAAAAATGAAATGAGATGAGATGAGATAATAAAATAAAATAATAGTAAATAAAAGTTAACTCTCATGAAGATCAGAAGTTGTTCTGTATACATGGCGTTCTCCTGATCGTGGGATAGGAGTAGGGTTTGCATAGGAAGGACCTGCATTTAGCACAGAAACGTTCTGTGTCCTCAGAAACCCTTTAGTCCTGGGCAAACTAGAATGGTCGGTCACCCTAGATAGGAGTAGCCATGGAGTGGACATAATCCCCAGGCACTGAATTGAGATGCTTTGGAGAGGCACTCTCTTTCTTTCCCACTGTCCCCACCTTTTACCTGACTTTGGTGGTCTCCAAACTGGGTCATGCTACTTCTGAGTCTTCATGCAAGTCAACCTCATTATTTTTTATAAATAGACTCTTTTGTATATTTTTCACATGCCCAATCAGAAGCTGTATCTGGTTCTCCACGTATGCAAGGCTAAAGACTAAACTCTTCCCTAGGCCTGGCATCACAGTCCTAGCAGTTAAAAACGTGGCCTCCGGAACCAGACTGTGTAGATTCTAACCCTGGCTCTGCCCTTCACTGATGACCTTAGACAAGCTATTTTCCCTCTCAGTGCCTTCCTTCTCTCATCTGCAAAATGAGGCTAATAATAGCACTTCTCAGTGGGCTGCTGTTAAGGATTAAGAAGCTGATACAGATGAAGTATTTAAAACAATTTCTAAAATGTTACCTGCTCCTCCCATCTAGTCTTCAGCCTTATCTTTCTTCCACTCTCTCCCTTATGATTCTCCATTCTAGCTCAAAGAGCCCGTTGGTCTCCCAGCCGTATCATGTGCGTGTTTGAGGTTTTGCCTTCTGAAAACAATGTCCATGTCTTTCTGCTTATTTAAGTAACTACCCTTAAAGTTAGCTGAAGTTTAGCGTCGTCTGTCCAGCTTTTCCCTTAGGGATTTCTCCCACTTTTGCATTATGTCCCACTTCTCTCTTTGCCTTTTGGTTGGCACATAATCTGTGGGCCCCAGTTTGTGCCCAAGAGGTACTCAGTGCTTGTTGGTGGTTAAGAGTTTGGGTGGGGGGGCCAAGAAGGGGAGTTCCTGGGACATTTGGGCTCCAGGGAGTTGTCTAAAGCTTCTCTCTTTTCCCAACAGAGGTCCCCCTTGTTGGAAGTGAGGGGGAACATACAGCTAAAAAGACCCCCGGTCAAGGCTCCTTCTCGGCTGCCTCTTCCGGGAACCAGGTTTAAGAGGGGGCCTGACCAGATGGAGGATGCCTTGGAGCCTGAGAAGGTAAGCTGGGTTTGGAAAGCTTTACATGTACATGTATGTGTGTGTGAGAGAGAGGGACAGAGAGTGTGTGTGTCTAACTCAATCAGGGAGAGTAAATGGACCCCATTCTTGTCTTTCTCCAGAAAAGGACACGAGGCCTGGACACAGTGACCAAAATTGCCACATCCCGCCCCAGAGCACCAGCCCTCACCACAGTGCCACAGACACAAGGCCAGACCACAGGTGGGCTCTAGGGGTGGACAGAAACCAAGGGAACGGAAGTCCAGTGCTCTTCAGATTTCTTTCAATTTTAGCATATTTTGAATAGGTAATATGTTTCACTTGTTTCAAAATTCCAAAGGCACAGAAGTCATTATTATACAGTGAAAAGTCTCCCTCCTACCTCTGTCCCCCAGCCACCAGGTCCCTTCCCCAGGAGCAACTGTATGTCCTTCCAGGGGTGTTCTATCATGGACATGTCTCCAATATTTTTTACATAAATGGTAGCATACTTGACATGTGGTTCTGCCCCGTGTTCTTTTTTTGCTTATCTTGGTCCAACTTTTTCTTGGGGTATTGTGTAATTCCTGGTCCTGGGAAGGATACCTTTAGAAGCTGGCCACACTTCAGGGAAGAGGGAAGCTGTCTTATTTCTAATCCTCAGAAAACGCAACTCTTCTGCCCCTGGCCCAGCCAGAGTTCACACCATCCTGAGTCTGGTTGTTCTTTTTCCTCTCCCCCATCTCCTGACAGCTCCAAAAGTTCCCAAGAAGACAGGACCCCGATGTTCCACAGCTGTTGCCACAGGTAGTAGTGCTTCAGAGCTGGGGCTGAGAAGAGATTTGGGGTGTGTGTAAAGGGAGGGTGTGTAAAGGACACCCGTGCTGATTCCGTACGTTAACTCCCCAATTCTCTAGCGCTGAAGAATCAGAAACCAGGCCCTGCTGCTCCTGCCCAGAAGCCTGGAGGTAGGTGACAAACATAACCACTAGGTGAGGGGCTGGGACAGGGAAGAGAGGAGATGGTGAGTACCCCAAAACATCCATCTGGTCTCCTCCCTGTCTGGAGGGGAAAGAGGTATAGCAGGAGGTGTGGAGGCCTTAAAGCCTAGGAGGGAAGAGAGGCAGAAAGCCAAGGCCTCCCTGACCCTGCCCTTTCTGTGCCATGTTAGCGGCTGCTCCCGTGCTGGGAGGGAGGAAACCCACCAAACGTCCGGCCTGGGACTTAAAGGGTCAGTTATGTGACCTAAATGCAGAGCTGAAATGCTGTCGTGAGAGGACTCAGACATTGGACCAGGAGAACCAACAGCTACAGGACCAGCTCCGGGAGGCCCAACAACAGGCCAAGTCCCTGAGGGCAGAATGCAGGACACTGGAAGGGGAGTTGGCCAGGGCGCAGGCCCAGGCCGAGCAGGGCCAACAGGAATTGGGGAACCTAAGGGCCCGTGTCCTGGAGCTAGAAGAGCAGCTGGGCACACAGCAGGGCTTGGTGCAAGAGCTCCAGAAAGAACAGTTGGGGTTGCAGGAGGAGCGAAGGGGACTGGCTGCCCGGCTGGAGGAGCAGGAGGTAAGGACCACCTTCTCACCAAATGCTAACCCTTCTTTCTGGGTTACCCTGAAGTCTCTTTGGGCTTAGGGTCCCTGCCTGCCTTTCTTTGGCAGTACACGTCTGTCCTCTAACCTCCACCCCAGCCCACCCCTGACTGTGTCTTATTTCTGCCCTGCTTCTCCCTGTCCTTCTTGCTTTCATAGCTCCCACCTGGATCTGTGTCTCCCTTCATCCTCTGTCACCCCCTCTGTCTTTCTGTCTTTCTTTTCCTGATCAAAAGTCTCCATGGCAGGGGTGCCTGGGTGGCTCAGTCGGTTAGGCATCTGACTCTTGATCTCGGCTCAGGTCTTGATTTCTGGGTCGTGAGTTCAAGCCCTGTGTTGGGCTGTGCTGGGCATGAAGCCTACTTAAAATAATAATAATAATCGTGGGGTGCCTGGGTGGCTGAGTCGGTTAAGTATCCGACTTTTGGTTTCAGCTCAGGTCATGATCTCACAGTTTCGGGAGTTCAAGCCCCGACAGCACTAAGCCTGCTTGGGATTCTCCCTCTCTCCCTCTCTCTCTGCCCCTCCCCCCAACTCTGCTGTCCCTGTCTCTCTCAAAAATAAATAAACTTAAAAAATTTTTTTTTAAAAAGTCAGGGTGCTTGGGTAGCCCAGTCAGTT